CTCTCTTGCTGTGTCTCTCTCTGTCAAATAAATAAATAAAATCTTAAAAAAAATTTTTTTTTTCCTCTGGAAGGATGGCTCACTTGTGTACTTAAAGCTTTCCTGATAAAAAGTCCAATTCCGGAAGGTAAGTATATTTTCAGAGTATTCACCCCCTTCTTGAAACCACTTAATTAATATCGGATTCTGCAAAATGTCAGGACAAATCACAGGACAGTCAATGTTACAATGAGAAATTCATTGTATCACAAACCTAATGATTTCTAATCTTTTATATATTATCTATATTGACTGAACATTAACCTTGTATTTTGTTCTCAGTTCTCTTCATTTTATCATATACACATAGGATCACTGATGTAAGTATCATCATAATGTAGTGTATCATTAGATCTGGAGCCATATAAGAGTTTTAAATATACTACATGATTCATCTGGCCAAATACTCTTACAACAAAGAACTGAGCAAAACAGTCCTATAATGGCTCATTTAAAAAATAAGATTTGATTTCATAAAGTTCTAGTGAAAAAAATTTTTTAAAAGATAATGGAATTTTAAAAAAACATACACATTAGTACTAGAAGAGACCTTTTAGGAAAACTAACTCCCTACTTAATGTGTAAATTTTCTTAATAATGAGTGATTTATTCAGTTTCTTTATTCTACAAGGCTAAACCATTTCAAGTAGCATATCCCAATTTGGAGCTCTGTTTGTTACAAAGTTTTGTTTTGTTTTGTTTTACAGGGAAACAAAACATGTCTCTCCTTAACTAAACTGTCCTATTTTCCTACAATATGCTGCCCTATTTTCAAGTTTTCCTCAAATGTTTTCTAGCTTATTTTGTCCCTCTTATGGAGCAGCCCCCCCCCCCAACAAACTAGAATTAGTCCTTTGGACAATGTTTTTCAAACTGTGGAGTGTGACTCATTACATTAAGAAATAGTTTTTAAAAATTAAAATAGGATAGAAAAAATCATAATACACAGTATATACTAAAGGTTAATATCTCCATTAAACCTTTGAGATATATTTTAACAGCTTTATTGAAGTATAATTTATGCACAAAATTCACTTATTTTAAGTGCACAATTCGATGCTTTTTAGAGAGTTTTTTGTAAAGAGTTACAGAGCTCTGCAGCCATCACCACAATCCAATTTTAGAACATCTTCATGTGCCCACTAGCCGTCACTACCCATTCTTACCCCAGCCCAAGGCAACCACTCATCCTACTTTCTGTCCTTATGGACTATGAACTAGACTGCAAGGTAAAATTTCTTACTGGGTTTGCCAAAGTCAAAACACTTCGAAGGCCACTACTTTAAAGTGCGTTGTAGTGAAACAAGAGAGCAAAAATTTCACCCAATATTGTCAATATATAGGGAAAACGGTGTACTGAACCCAGTAGCTCTGGGAGGAAATTGAAAGAATAGAACTAAATACAGAAATATTTATTTGGGGGAGAAATAGTCTAAATGGGGTGGTTTAAACAAAAAAGGTATACAAACTGAGATGGATGGAACCTGGTCACAGAATATGGTAGAGGTTTTGGTTCCTATCAAAGTTACAACTAAGAGTTCTCATCTGATGGGTGCTCACAGGCCCAGAGCATACTCAGAGGGACGTCAGGTGCTCCTGCATAGTTTACCATCAACATCTTATATAAAAGAGCAAAAACTGCCTATAGGAGTACAGCTGATATCATAATATGGCATAAGACAGTTTTTCTTTTAATCAAGATTTGTTTAAAATCTTTGATAAAAAGGGGTGCCTGGGTGGCTCAGTCATTAAGCGGCTGCCTTCGGCTCAGGTCATGATCCCAGGGTCCTGGGATCCAGCCCCGCATCGCATCGGGCTCCCTGCTCAGCGGGAAGCCTGCTTCTCCCTCTCCCTCTGCTTGCCGCTCTGCCTACTTGTGCTCGATCAAATAGATAAATTCTTTAAAAAAAAAATAAAATCAAATCTTGATAAAAAGGGAGATAAATGCCTCCATGGTGAGCGTTGTCCTATATTATCTCTTTTAATCCGCACAGCGAGCTGATGAAGACCGTTATCATTACTCAGCTTCAAAGCTGTATAAACAGACTCAGAGAAGGTAACTTCCCCAAAGTCACACGGCTCCTAAATTTTTTTTTTTTTTTTAAAGATTTTATTTATTTGACAGAGAGAGACACAGCGAGAGAGGGAACACAAGCAGGGGGAGAGGGAGAGGGATAAGCAA